AGGAAAGTAATCCCCTAATCTCCTTTTGCTGGATCTAGAAGAGACGGATTTTTTTTTTAAAGTTTGAAATTCAGATATGTTGAGTGCATTTTAAGCAAATCTCAACGCGTTCTGCCTTTTCGATGCGCCCATTAGAAAGTCTCTCCGTGCCCTAGCTTTAAGTGGCCTTTCCACTTGGTATTCGAATTTTCATGAAAGACAATGTCTAGCACAGTATCCAGGAGCTGAGGGAGCCGCCGGGGAGGCTGGGGCCCGCATGTGCCTAATTGTTTCCATCAGGAAATCAGCTGAAGGAAGCCGTGCAAAATGCCAGGAGTTTTGAAAGCTAAGATAATAGATGCCCGGGGAATGGAAACATAAAACTGTGTTTTCAGGGTAGTTTTTCAAGCCTTTTTAGCACATTCGCCGGGAAGGGTGTGTAAGCATTGGGGTTGTTTTGTTGTGAGGGTTTTTGGTTTTGTGTGTTTGTTTTTTGCGTTGTTCTGGACAGAGCAAGAGTTTTGTGTGGAGCAGGAAAACCTCAGTGAATTTGACTTGGTTTCCCATCTATTGAAGGGGTGTTAGAATCTAACCAAAAGAACTGGGCTACTCCACACCCTCCCAACACACACACACACACACACACTTTTAGCTTCCAAGGATTTTTAAGACCAGGAAATGCATTTACATGTAGGAGCTGATGTGCCTTGTTTAAACTTTCGTAACATTGATTTTACTTATTTGAGAGGCACAGTGACAGAGAAGCAGAAACAGAGAGAATCTTCTATCAGCTGGTTCATTTCCCAAATGGCCACAATGGCCCTGGCTGGGTCAGGCTGAAGCCAGGAGCCTGGAACTCCACTGGGGTTTCCTATGTGGTGGCACAGGCCCAAGGACTTGGCCATCGTCTGCTGCCTTCCCGGGGCAATAGGAGGGAGCTGCATTGGAAGTGGAGCAGCCGGGACTCAAATCCGCCCTCCAGCTTCCTGCACCACAGTGCAATATGTTTTAACCCTGGGAGAGGAGGAATCTTTGCTGATGTCGGCTCAGGAGTTGCTAGTGCGTCATGGAGTGCTGGGTATTTGGGAGTCGCCTGCTTGCTGCAGACCAGTGTTGGTGACATTTCTGTCATTTCTACCCAAAAGCCACAGGACATAACACAAAGTGAGCTATATGAATTGCGGGCATGGCTTTTGTACTTGTTTGCTTAATTTTAATGCAACACCAAAGACATTGAAATTTTTTTAATTTTCCTGGCTCATTTGCCTTACAAATGTTTGATTTATATTGTGGTTTGGATTATGGTTTTTAAATAGGACATTGGCCTTGTGTAGGTATAAGGATTTCATCAATTTTTAAAAAGATTTATTTATTTCAAAGGCAGAGTGAGAGAGAGACAGAGAGAGAGGAGAGAGAGAGAATCTTCCATCCACTGGTTCACTCCCCAAATGGCTGCAGTAGTCAGAGCTGGGCCAATTTGAAGCCAGGAGCCAGGAGCTTCTTCCGAGTCTCCCACAGAGTTGCATGAGCCCAAGGACTCAGACCATCTTCCGCTGCTTTCCCAGGCCATAGCTGAGAGCCGAATCGGAAGAACAGCAGCTGGGACTCGAACCGGCGCCCTATGGGATGCCAGCACTGCAGGTGGCAACTTTACCCACTATGCCACAGCGCCAGCCCCTTTCATCAGTTTTAAAGGGGAAGGATTTGGGTCTTGCAGTTGTTACAGTGAATGTGTATTGAAAGACCATGAGCAGAAGAAATGTGGTTGATGCTGGATGTATTCATTCAACTTCCCCTGTTTTAAATTTTTTTAAGACTTATTTATTTGAAAGAGTTAAACAGAAGGAGAGGCAGAGAGAGAGAGAGAGAGAGGTCTTCCATCTGCTGGTTCACTCTCCAGTTGGCCACAATGGCCGGAGCTGTGCCGATCCGAAGCCAGGAGCCAGGAGCTTCTTCCGGGTCACCCATGCGTGTGCAGGGGCCCAAACACTTGGGCCATCCTCCACTGCCCTCCCAGACCATAGCAGAGAGCTGGATTGTAAGTGGAGCAGCCGGGACTAGAATTGACACCCATATGGGATGCCAGCTTTACCTGCTACGCCGCAGTGCTGGACCCTCTAATTTTTAATATAACCTGATTGTAATAGGTGAATATTAGGTAAAATTCAGTTGTAGTCTTTTTTTTTTTTTTTTTTTTTTTTTTTTTTTTTTTTTGGACAGGCAGAGTGGACAGTGAGAGAGAGAGACAGGTCTTCCTTTACCATTGGTTCACCCTCCAATGGCCACTGTGGCTGGCGCACCACTGATCTGAAGCCAGAGCCAGGTGCCTCTCCTGGTCTCCCATGGGGTGCAGGGCCCAAGCACTTGGGCCATCCTCCACTGCACTCCCTGGCCACAGCAGAGAGCTGGCCTGGAAGAGGGGCAACCGGACAGAATCTGGCGCCCCGACCGGGACTAGAACCCGGTGTGCCGGCGCTGCAGGTGGAGGATTAGCCTAGTGAGCTATAGCGGCGCTGGCCAGGTATAGTCTTTTGCTACCTTTTATGGCACTTAGGCAAGATGCAGGGAAATTTTCAAGGGGGCAAAAAAAGATTTCAGTCTATAGAGCTACTGATTACAGTGAATGAAATTTGTGATCCTTCTGATAGGGAGAAGGGAGAGAGGAAGAGAGGGGCGGGGGAGGGCGAGGGGGAGGGAGGGAGGGGGGGTGATTCCCATTCTCAGCCGCCCATGCATTTCCCCCCCAGGTGGCCATGCGCAAACAGGAGATTGAAGACAAACTCAATTCATGGATCCTATTCAATGAAAAGAATAAAGAAGTGTGCGCGTGGCTGGTGCAGATGGAAAACAAAGTTCTGCAGACCGCGGATATCAGCATTGAAGAAATGATTGAGAAGCTGCAGAAGGTAAGCAGGGGTGCCGGGTGAGCGCCGTCCTGCTGCCCTGGGAATTCTCCGCCCGCCTCGCTGGCCGGCTCAGAGAGGCGTGCCCACAGGTGCGTTTCCAGGAACGCTCTGCAGCTGTCCGTTTTTGAGCCCTCTGAGAGAACACCTGGAAAAGAGAAGCTTGCAGACGGATGGGAAGTGTAGGGCTGCTCTGGGTGGGCCTGTAGTGGGAGACTTCCACCCAGCTCAGAAGTCTGGCAGAGCTGGGGCTCCCAGCTCCAGCAGCTGCTCTCCACGCCTCAGGCCAGGTCACGGTTGTTTCTTGTTTGTTTTGATTTATTGGAAAGTCAGAGTGCCAGAGAGGGAGGAAAAGACAAAGACGTCTTCCATCCACTGATTGCACTCCCCAGAAGCCAGGAACCAGGACCTCCACCCAGGTCTCCCACTTGGGCGGCAGGGAGCCATGCACTTGGGCCGTCTTTTGCTGCTTCCCAGGCACGTTAGCAGGAAGCTGGATCAGAAGCGGAGTAGCTGAGACATGAACCAGGTGGTCTGATACAGGATGTGGGCCCTCCCCCCCCCAACAGCATCTGCTGCCCTCTAGTGGTTGTTGGTGGCACCTCCTGCCACAGCTGTGTGGCCAACAGTGGCGAAATGGTCCCTAACCCCCACAGATGAGAGCATTGTGTTTTAAAATTATTTATATTTATGTAAGAGACATAAACAGAAATGGAGACAGATCTTCCAACCACTGGTTCACTCTCCAAATACGTGCAACAGTCAGGGACGCGTTGGGCTGACACCAGGAGCCACAGACTCGATCCCAGAATTCAGTCCCGGTCTCCCACAGAGGCGCTGGAACCCAAGCACTTGAGCCATCACCTGCCTCCCTCCTAGGGTGCACTTTGGCAGGAAGCTGGAATCTTGGGAGCGGAGCTGGGACTTGAACCCAGGCACTGCAGTGTGGGATGCAGGGAGGGCTTTCCTGCTGCAGACATCACACAGTAAACACTCAGGAAAAGTCTTAGTTATGTTGGCCCCGGTTCCCGCAGCTCCCGGCCATCCAGTGAGACAGAGGGGCTGTTGAGTTAAGGAGCTGACTCCCACCTTACTTAATACTTCACATTTGCCCTATGGACGGTTGCCTGTCGTTGTAACTACTCACAGAAGCGGTGCGTCCGCAGCTGTGAGGCTGTTTAACTTCTCAAACGTGTTCAGAAGGCAGTTGTGTGTGGCCGGCTAAGAAGGGAACTTGGAGTAATCGCTCGGGCTTTGTGTGTTGGCGCCTTTGGCAGGACTGCATGGAAGAAATAAACTTGTTCAGTGAAAACAAGCTGCGGCTAAAGCAGATGGGTGACCAGTTAATCCAGGCAAGCAACAAGACGAGGGCGGCTGAGGTCGACGACAAACTCAACAAGATCAATGACCGCTGGCAGCATCTTTTTGATGTCATTGGCTCCAGGTAAGCAATGACCCAGAAGTTATCCTGACCACCAGGGTGCACTGGCGACTCCACGGACCCGCTCAGCTGAGTCCAGTCTTCCTGTTCCAGCAGCTTCTCAGATGTGCAGATTGGGGCAAGGTTTGGTAAAAACGAGTGGACAATCTTATCTCAGCATTATGGAAGGCGTACGTTGTCGTACGTCCCACTTGAATCTTTTCTCTTCCGCTTCCAATTGCACATGAGTTAGATTGGTTTGAAATGGAAGGTGGAAATTTAAGTTGAAGCGTTTGATTCAAAATAGCTGGAGAAGATTTAGAGTGTTCCCAACACAAAGAAATGATCAATGTTTTGGGGAAAAAACAAAAACAAAAACCTTCAGAAATCCAGATATGTGCGAGTCTACCAAAAGTTCATGGAACATGTATTTCATGAAAAAAAGCATCGATTTGGAAAAATGCACCAAAATATTTTTTATTCCATTTTTCCATGAATGTTCATATGATTTAGAATGAACAGGAGACACTATAAAGTAGGTGGAGAAGCCAGAAGTGGTGACAGTAAGATACCGTTCATAACTCGCCGTATCCTCTCCCTCCCTCGTTGATGGGGGACTGTGAGTGAGCCCGATTCAATCAGCAGAGGCCCCTACCTGCGTGCTGGGAGCCTGGCAGGCAGGAAGATAGCCAATTACATTAATGGGAGCAGCTGCAAAGCCCAGGGTCTAGGAGCTTAGATGGCGTCTTCCTGGGAGTGGGGGTGGGGATTAGGAAGTGTCTCACAGAAGGGCTGCGTTTCCAGATGGTTCTGAAAGAGGGGCTTCACAGTGCCTGGAGGTAGTGTGTCGTAAACAGCATAGAAGAGGAGTGACGAGAAGCCCCACTGGCTCAGATGTCGCAAAGGAAGCTGGAGTGGTAGGTGGGTGGGGCCAAGGGGTGGGTGTTTATCCCAGGGCTTAAGATGGTGGTTGGGGTACCCACATCCCATGTCAGAGTACCTGAGTTCAAGTCTGGCTGTGCTCCCAGTTCCAGCTTTTTTTTTGCTCATGCAGACCCTGGGAGGCACAGAGTGATGTCTCAACTACTTAGGTCCCTGTCACCCACATAGGAGACTTGGATCACGGTCCTGGTTCCCGGCTTTGGCCTGACCCAGTGCCAGCGCTTGCCAGCGTTTGGGGAGTGCACCAGCTGGTAGATCTGTCTCTGTCTCTCCTCCTTTCAGGAAGGAAGAAAAGGTAGGAAGGTGCTTTGGGGCCAGCTTTTTTTTTATAAGGACACATGGGAATTTTTTATTTTTTAAAGATTTATTTATTGATTTGAAAGCCGAGTTACACAGAGAGAGAAGGAGAGGCAGAGAGAGAGAGAGGGAGGGAGGGAGGGGTCTTCCATCTGCTGGTTCATTTCCCAGTTGTCACAATGGCTGGAGCTGAGTTGATCCGAAACCAGAAGTCAGGAGCTTCTTCCAGGTCTCCCAGGTGGGTGTGCAGGGGCCCAAGGACTTGGGTCATCTTCCACTGCTTTCCCAGGCCATAGCAGAGAGCTGGATCAGAAGTGGAGCAGCCGAGACTAGAACCGGTGTCCATATGGGATGCCGGTGCTTCAGGCCAGGGTGTTAACCCGCTGTGCCCCAGCGCCTGCTCCTGGGGACAGCTCTTAATAGACTGTAAATCTCACCCAGGAGTCAGCTCCTAAATAACTCCACATCGTTGCTGGTTTCCTACCGTGGAGTGTCTGCTGAACACAGTGCCAGGGTGATTTCACTGGCAGCGGAGGCCGGGCTGAATTCAGCTTCTCCCCACAGCCAGTTGGGAGGAAAAATCTGCAGAATTCCATGGCCATGAGCTAAGTCAGGCTTAAGAACCCAGGGTTTGAATCCCCTTCCTGAACTCCTCACTCTCTGCCAGAACTTGAACATGAGCGTTAACCTTTGTAAGCGTCCATTTCTAAATCTGCAAAATGTGTCCAGCTGGTCATGTCAGAGGCCACCGCCCACCATGAGGGTGAATGCTGGGTGTTCCCCACTGTCACAGGACCAGCACAGCCCGTTGCAGCCAGGGTTAGTGAGTGGCTGTTTTCATTGTTTCTCCCTAAGAAGACTCTGGGACTAAGTGGCGTGTTTCGTATAGAAGAGAATTCCCTGGATTGTGTCCCGTACAAGGAACTCTTCCTCCAAGAGGCCAGTGAGTTGACTGTTGCATCCCCAGGGCTTAGAACAAAGCCTCAGCTATTTGTTGAAATGAATACATGTGCCAGGGCATAAGGATAAGTTGGCTTCTGTTTGGTAAGTTGTGTCTTTGTGGTTGGCATTATATCCTAAGTCATCTGGCTTGAGCGTCAAGTGCTAGTTAAGGGTGACCTGTTTGGGGGCCATTATTCAGGACCAAAATCCAGCTATGTGCCCTGTAGGCTCGAGTGACAGTCTCTTCTTGCTCACAGTACATCAGTTTGGAGTATAACGGGCTGTATGCTCTCTCTCTCTGGCCGCCTGTTTTCAGCTAGCTGCTTGGTGAGAAAGAGAAACTAGCAAATGAGACCTTCTGAGTCATCTTGGAAAGAGCAATTGACAAATGAACCAATAACAAATATATTGGCTGCCAGTTCTATTGTGTTTTTAAAAGAGATTTATTTATTGAAAGTCAGAGTTACACAGACAAGGAGAGGCAGAGAGAGAGATCTTCTATCTACTGGGTCACTCCCCGGTTGGCCGCAATGGCTAGAGCTGTGCCGATCCGAAGCCAGGAGCCAGCAGCTTCTTCTGGGTCTCCCACATAGGTGCAGGGGCCCAAGCATCTGGGCCATCTTCTTCTGCTTTCCCAGGCCACAGCAGAGAGCTGGATTGGAAGTGGAGCAGCTGGGACTTGAACCGGCGCCCATATGGGATGCTGGCACTGCAGGTGGTGGCTTCCCCCGCTACGCCACAGCGCCGGCCCCGCCAGTTCTATTCTTGATGATATGCTTTTTATGTATGACTTCACTAAGATTTCATTGTCATTCAGAAAGGCAGATACCATTACCCATTTGACAGATAAGGAAACTGAGTCCTAGAGTGAAGTAGGTTGCTCATGGTCGCATTTCTAGATGTGACACGAATGGAATCTTATGCATGGGTGTCCCCTCACTGCTCCCCCAAACCCTTCTAGTTTGAAACACTGACACGAGTAAAATGTAGTGGGAGCCCCATTCCTCCAACACTGAAGGGCCTGGGAAGAAATAACTCCTCTTCTATTTTTATTTTTTATTATTTATTTATTTATTTTTGGTAAACTGTTTCTGTCTTTGAAGCAGAGATCAATCTTCCATCTGCTGGTTCATTCCCCAAATGCCCTCAATAGCCAGGGCTGGGCCAAGCCAAAACCATGAGCCCAGAACTCCAAATAGGTCTCCCATGTGAGTGGCAGGGTCCCGAGGAGCTAAATCGTTATTCACTGCTTCCCAGGATACATAGCAAGAAACTGGATTGGAAATGGAGCAGCCAGGACTCAAATGGGCACTCCATTAGGGAGTCAAACTAGTGGGCGTCAAAGCAGAGGCTTCCAAATTGCATCATGATGCCCGCCCCTCCTCATCTCTTTAAGCAAGGGCCAAGCCGCGCGAGCCAATGGCTCGGAGGCTAATGGGATTTTTTTTTTTTACAATTGATTTATTTATTTTAAAGGCAGAGTTAGAGGCAGAGGCTGAGAGAGGGAGGGAGAGAGAAAGACAGGTCTTCCATCCACTGGTTCACTCCCAGATGGCTGCAATGACCGGACTTGGGATGATCCAAAGCCAGGAGCCAGGAGCCTCTTCCAGGTCTCCCATGCAGGTGCAGGGGCCCAAGCACTTGGTCCATCTTCCACTGCTTTCCCAGGGCACAGCAGAGAGCTGGATCGGAAATGGAGCAGCCAGGACTCGAACCGGCGCCCATATGGGACGCTGGCACTGTGGGCGGTGGCTTTACCTGCTATGCCACAGCGCCGGCCCCCTAATGGGACCTTCAGGTGCTCTGTGGGTTGAGGCAGCAAGCTTGCACCTGCCACAGAGCAGCCTCACACTGAACCAACTCCTTGTCTGATCCCTGACATGACCTCACCCTGGGCACTGTACAGAGGTGTTGCTGGGGGGGTGGGGGGCGGGCTCAGGCTGCCAAGTTTACATGTGAGTAGTGCCAACAAGAACCTGCTGTACCGGGGCCGCCGATGGCCTTGTTTACCCAAGGAGTCGACACCATGGAGCCTTTTGCACCTGGCTCGTGGTCTTCTGCCTTACCTGTTCTAAAAATCAGATTTGGGGATTGGGGAGTAGGTGTTTGGTACAGGTGTTGAGCTGGTGCCTGGGACCCTGGCGTCCCATATTGGAGTCCCGGGTTCTGTTCCTCTCTCTGCTCCCCGCTATACGCACACACCTGGGAGGCAGCCAGTGACGGCTCGTGGAGTTGGGTCCCTGCCACTCACCTGGGAGACCCAGCCTGAGTTCTGGCTCCTGCCTTCAGCCTGGCCCAGATTTGGCAACTGTGGGCATTTGGGGAGTGACCAGCGATGGAAGATCTCTGTGTTTCAAATAAAATGAAAAGACATAAATTTTTTTAAAGTAAGATTTGGAGGGAAATCCTATATAGGAATCTGGCCTATCATGTCAAGATTTTAACCAGAAGCCTTTAATGTCAAGGTTCAGGAATGGAGTTTGGAAATCTAATACCTTGGTAGATCACATTGAGTTCACTAGGTGAATAATAATAATAATAATAATAATTGGGATCCATTCTCAGCAAAATAAGGGCAGGTTTTTATATGGATTATTTTATTTGAAAGGCAGAGTTAGAGAGGCAGGTTTTTATATAGATTATTTATTTGAAAGGCAGAGTTACAGAGAGAGAGAAAGAGAGAGTCAGTCTTCCACCTGCTGGTTTATTCCCCCCAGTGGCCACATCGGCCAGGACTGCACCAGGCCAAAGCCAGGAACCAGGAGTTTCTTCTGGGTCTCCCACATGGGTACAGGGGCCCAAGGACTTGGGCCATCTTCTACTGCTTTCCCAGGCCATAGCAG